TTGAGACCATTGCCATGACCATTTCTTCTCGAATTCTCGTTCAAACAGCATTCACAAATTTCTACAATACTGGTGACCGAAACTGGGAAGATGCCCGCGAAGATCTTGAGAGCGCACTTGCTGTCAGCACCAGTTCTGGTCTGTTGCAAGTAAGGCTATATTCGAGGAATGAGACGGGCGCTTCCAATGGCGGTTTACTCAACGTGACCTCACGTTCTGCACCCGAGGTCATTTTGCCCTATGGCAGTTCAACTGGCTCCGAGATACGACTCGGCGATACTGATGAGGGCTACCCACCGACTCTCTTCCCTAATCTTACATATATCAATCTTGATCGGCCAAGTTCTCAGCGCAATAACACAACAGCTTTTGCAGCCCAAGCATTCCCAGATGTTAGGATTGCCCGCGATGGTGGCTTATTGCTGGGGCCACTAGTTCTCAACGAGAGTGCCGCTCTCCTTTCCGTAACAATTCCTGTTCGGGACAACAACGATACCTTTATCCTTGGCTATATGACTGTGGTTACGCTTGCCGAGTCACTCACCGCGGTTCAGGATTCTCGTGAAGGATTGGGGAAGACGGGTACCGTCTTACTCATTGGCCCTACTGACCGGTCAAATCGTTTTAACAAAACTCAGCCCGCCAGCAATGCGACATACACTCCCAACCGTGATGAATTTGGTAATGTGATGGTCAAATTTGTCCTTCCTCCTAAGAATCCGGAAGGACAAAAGGATCGTCATAATGTTCATCAGTTTGTCAGCGAGACTGGGAATAGAGCATTTCCTGTCAAGTATTACCCAGCAGCGTTCGATTCGTTCACAAAACATTATGATACTGTCAATAACGCCAGCGCTCTCCTCAACACACACAACGAACAAGACGCCCGTGTCGCAGTTGGATTTGCTCGAACGCAAACTCCTCTGGCAAACTGGACTGTTATCGTCGAGAAAGCCAGATCAGAAGCTTATAAGCCGATCAACACTTTGCGGAACATCCTGCTTGGCACCGTGTTCGGTACTGTCGGCTTGATAGCCTTGCTGGTCATTCCATGTGCTCATCTTAGCGTGTTGCCCATTCGAAAACTCAAAGCGGCCACAGAAAAGTCAATCAACCCCCCAGGATACGAAGACTCATTTATCGATTCGGATTCCGAGTTCGGAGAGGAGATTCCAAGTTCTGGAGGGATATCACGACGATCCAAAAAACGAGGGCCAATAACGAAATTCATTCGAAAAATGAAGGGAAAGTCGAATGGACCGAGTTCAAATCGAGATATTGCCCGCCGAATGTTCAAAATCCCTGCAAAAGTTGATGACCGGAAGCACTTTGTTACGGATGAGCTAACTGAGCTGACACGAACCTTCAACGATATGAGTGACGAATTGGTAAAACAATATCTTTCCCTTGAGGTCAAGGTGGCAGAGCGAACAAGGGAGCTGGAGGAGAGCAAGAAGGCAGCGGAGGCGGCTAATGAGAGCAAGACGCTTTTCATTGCCAACATTTCCCACGAACTGAAGACGCCCCTGAACGGCATCCTTGGCATGTGTGCTGTATGCATGGAAGAGAACGACATCGTTAGGATTAAGCAATCCCTAAAGACACTCTACAAATCCGGCGACTTGCTGCTTCATCTCTTGGAGGACTTGTTGAGCTTCTCCAAGAACCAGATTGGCCAGCAGCTCAACCTTGAGCTGAGGGAATTCCGACTGGCCGACATCAGATCACAGATTTTGACCATTTTCGACAAGCAGGTTCGAGAAGGAAAGATCAACTTCTCGGTAGAGTTTATCAGCTCCGACAATATCGACATTAGCACAAGTCCAGACAGAACAAATGGGGAGACAAGATTACCAGCACTTGGCCCCTATGGAACTGGAAGACTGAAGGACATGTGTCTATGGGGCGATCAACATCGAATACTTCAGGTCATCATAAATTTGGTGAGCAACAGTTTGAAATTTACGCCTCACAATGGCAGCGTCTCAGTCCGCATTAAGTGCCTCGGAGAAGCAGAAACCGTTGTTGAGAATGAAAGCCGCACATCCTCGATATCGAAGAACTCGCGGAACAACTCACGAACTGGGCGTCCTCGACAACGCGGAAGCGCCAGCTCAGCAAACTCAGGAGGCTCAGGAAACCGAAACTCGATCCCGAAGTTCAAGGGCACGGGAACTGCCTTGTCCATCAATCCTATGGACCCAAAGGCAACCCCTCATGTCCTGGTTCGAGAGCGATCCCCTACGCCCCCTCCACCAGGTGCCAAGTCGTATGTGTTCGAATTTGAAGTACAGGACACTGGCCCCGGCATACCTGAACATATGCAGCAAAAGGTTTTTGAGCCCTTTGTCCAAGGAGATTTGGGCCTGAGCAAGAAATTTGGTGGTACTGGATTGGGATTGAGTATCTGCCACCAGCTAGCAGGCCTCATGGGTGGTTCTATCAGCCTGCGTAGCACTGTGGGCGTCGGCACAACCTTCACTATGCAGATTCCGCTAAAATACGTGAAGGATCGGTAAGTGTGCACCAGCGAAATCGCTACAAAGTTGCTAATAGTTAGATCCAGAACTTCCAGCACTGCATCGAGCAGTGTGAAATCCCGCCCAGCAAGCGTAGATGCTAGCGATATAGAGCCACAGCGTGTTGCTCCTGGTACCCCGAAACCTGCAGCTGAAACCAAGTCAGCCGGTGCCCTCAACCCACAACCTCGACTGGTCGGGCTAAGCCAGCCATACTTCGCTGCTGACCCTCCATCTATCAAGAGTGCAGAACAAAAGATGGCAGAGATCGATCGTGCCATTGCCAGTAAGGGTGGTCAAGGCAGGCTACGCGTTCTGGTTGCCGATGATAACTCAACCAACATCGAAGTTGTCAGCCGCATGCTGAAACTCGAGGACGTTTACGATGTGACTATTGCGAAGGATGGCCAAGAGGCCTACGATCTGGTGAAAGCAACAATGGAGAAGAACCAAGCGTTTGATGTGATTTTCATGGACGTCCAAATGCCCAACCTTGATGGGCTGCAAAGCACTCGGCTTATCCGTGAGATGGGCTACACATCCCCCATCGTTGCCTTAACAGCCTTCTCAGAGGAGAGTAATGTGAAAGAATGCATTGACTCGGGTATGGACGAGTTTCTCGCCAAACCTATCAGACGGCCGGCCCTTAAACAAGTGCTGAAGAAGTTTGCAACAATCCCAGAGGAGCCGGAAGACGAAAAGCGCTCTTCTTCGCTGAAACCGAAAGCTGGAACGAATGGCAATGCCGTTCAGCCACACAAGCAGGGCGAGAACGGCGCACCACGAGAGAAACATGGATGAGCGCTTTATCCCTGGTTTGCTGTGCACCTGCAGAAGCCACAGCTAGGAATACGAGCGAAGGTGACTCGTACGAAAGACAGACATAATCATACTCAAGGGACAAAGATCCCCACACACCATCTCAACCGACATACATCTCTTACCTATTTGTTTCAAGTTGCAAAAGTCTAGCGGGAGGAATTGTCTTTGCTGGAGTTTGAGCATTTTTCTTATCGAATTTTTCAAGGGGAAAAGGGATCAGGAAAAGAACCGCCCCAGTGTCTTTTGGCTTGTTCGGATTATTGGTCACGCACGTTGACGAGCATCGCGACCTCTCTATACTCTATTTTTGATCGTATTTCTGGGGTTTGCCATCACATACAGTTGATCGGCGCACACGTATATAGGCGTACACGTTTTGACCTATTATAGTTGTCATTTGCACATGTTTGCGGATACTGGAAGTGGAATACAAAGGTGGTGTCAGTTACAGCATCACAAGAGGAGGCATACGAGGAAAAGATATGACAGAGGAGAGAAGAAACAAGAAACAAGAGGCGTATATACATACTCATGTAATTATATATATACGCATAATACTATGACGAAGGAAGAACAGAAAGTCGTCACTAGACACGTTGTATGACTCGGTGCTGCTCGTTGTGACGTGTTGAAACCAATAGAGGGCAGTGGTAAAATTGAGAAAGCTATCTACCTGATTGTTTGCATCCAAATCGTCTGTGCAAAAGGCGAATGTTGGTTGAGGCAAGTTGCTAAGACTACTACAGGATGTGAAATGTCAGCAAGGGACTTGAACGCAAAGCTAAAGCGATAGTTTCACCCGAAAAGGCGCAGTGGCAGAGTGGTCTAATGCGATAGACTAGAAATCTATTCTCTTCGGAGGCGTCTGTTCGAATCAGGCCTGCGTCGGTGTTTTCTTTTTAGTGTTAAACTCAAGTTGTATAAATATTTCTTTTTATCCATATCTTTAATATTCATTTAATCGAATATTAAAATATTCAAGTATTAAGTGTAATCAACTTATTATTTAATATATATATCTTTATTTATAATAATGCCTGCTTTCTATCTTATGGCTACTACTCCGTAGGTACTTGAGCTATACCCGGCTAGCCTGGCCATCTCACTAATGGAGGGAATATTTCAGGGGTCTTCTACCCCGAAAGACTCCTAGCCAACGGGGTCCGAGAGCACCGCCGACTCCGTTGTAGCGCATCGTATAAGCCACTAGAGGTCGGGTGTTATTTATGAGTAAGGTACATTTTATGATCATGGACTCGCAGACGAAGAAACTTCAACTTCTGGTAAGAACGTAGCAAATGAATAAAAGCCCATAGTCCAGGGCTGCCTGCTTTGAAGTCACCTCAAACTAAACTCCATTGCCCTACAATAGTCAAGTCCTTGACATCTGGGATGTGATAGGAATTTGAAGGAGGCGGGCAACCACCTAGGAGCTAGAGGTACGTACCTCTGCAACACGGGCACACACGTAAGGCTTCACGAGCCACAGCGCGACCGTTCCAACTATCCACATCCACATCCATCCTATCCCCGTCAGCTTCATCCATAAGTCGCATCTTCTTTTCCCCCCTTCACATATCGACTCTCTCTATCGACAAAAACACCCTCACATCGCGCAGGAGGAATCACAGGCCTTTCAATAATTCTGACGACGATACAATGGCCGACGAGCAGCCTCGTGGCATCGACCACACTGATTCCATCGATTCAAATGATGGCCCGAAGCAGCCGGACAAGAAGAAGAGCCGTCGCCCTGCGAGTGAGTGTGCCTCAGGGATGCGCGCGATGCCGGAGAGAATTCACACTAATTGATGCCTTGTAGATACTGCCTTTCGACAACAGCGTCTAAAGGCCTGGCAGTATGTCATGACTACCTTACCCTCATCCCGTTTACTCAATCGCCCCCTCGATACTGATTGATACCTTGCGACAGGCCCATCCTCACACCAAAGACTGTCCTGCCTCTCTTCTTCGCCATCGGCATTATATTCGCTCCCATCGGCGGCGCTCTTCTATACGCGAGCGCTCAGGTACAACACCCTTGATTCGTCTTGTTAGACTATACCCGCCAAACCCAATTCTAATGCGCGAACCTAGGTCCAAGAAATCCGACTCGACTACACCGATTGCATTGAAAAAGCTCCCGCCCTCAAGGACGGCGGCGGCTTCAGGGGCATGCCGGGCAGTGCTGTCAGCACCGCATTCAAGAGTTCCAACACTTCAGTGAATGCGCAGTGGGCCAAGGAGGACAACGTCACCGTTAAGCTCGACAACGGTGTCAGCGTCTCGAACCCTCGATGCCATCTCAAGTTTACCATTCCAGAGGAGATGGGCCCGCCTGTCCTCTTCTACTACCACCTCACCAACTTCTACCAGAACCATCGCCGATATGTCCTCTCCTTCGATACCGACCAGCTCAAGGGCCACAAGCGATCTTACAGCGACATTAAGAACTCGGACTGCACTCCCCTGTATGGTGAGGGCAGCAAGCCTTACTATCCCTGCGGACTGATCGCCAACTCCATGTTCAACGATACTTTCTCCAGCCCTGTGCTCTCGAACCCTCCCAAGGCCAGCAGCAATGATACGTGGGTATATCATATGCAAAACAACACGGGGATCTCGTGGGACAGTGACAAAGATCTCTACGGCAAAACCTCGTACAACTACACTGACATAGTCCCCCCCCCTAACTGGCACGATCGCTACCCCAATGGGTACACTGAGGACACGCCTCCTCCTAACCTCAAGGAATGGGAGGCTTTCCAGGTCTGGATGCGGACGGCTGGTCTTCCTACTTTCAGCAAACTGTACCAGCGCAACAACACTCAGGCTATGTGGTCTGGGACCTACGATCTGGTGATTGACTACCGTAAGTCTTTGTTCCCTCATGTTGAGCAACCATATCTGACCTCGATATAGGCTTCCCGACTCTCAAGTACAAGGGCACCAAGTCCGTCATCATTTCTACTCGAACCGTTATTGGAGGACGCAATCCTTTCCTTGGCATTGCCTACGTTGTTGTCGGCGGTGTTTGTATTGTTCTCGGCACCGTGTTTACAGTTACTCATCTCATCCGCCCCAGGTTTGTCCCCTAGTCTGACAGTCGCTGACCTTATGCTAAATCCATGATAGAAAACTTGGAGATCACACTTATCTCTCGTGGAATAATGCCCCTGGTGCAAAGTCAGGTCCTAGCACTGCCGCCGCTTCGGGTCGCGAACTCCGTCCTGGCGAAGCTTAGACAGCTCGCGACGATTCGCGCGCTCTTCTCGCAGCTCCTACGAGCCCATCTCCCGCGTCTTTCAGATCACCGCCCAGTGCATCAGGTGGTCCCCTGGTCCCTCTTTGATTTTACACCGTCTTAGGTCACGTTCACCATCAAGGATCTGTGTTATTCGGTACTCAAAGGCTAGTAGATGTCGTTTTGAGAGAGTGCTTTTGATCATATTTGCTAGTCATGTTTCTCCATCATACGTCTCGTTGTGTTTTTGTACGACTACTCCCTTTTGCGGTCTCCGACTGTTGCTTTACTTTTGGTTTCGGGAGACTTATATCATCAAACGTTGGTCTCTTACACGTGTGCCAGCTATGTCGGCCTTGTGTGCCTCTTTACCCAGCAGGTACCTGTCCTTTGGAACAAGATACAACGAAAGGGAAAAGAGGAAGAGCAAGAATTATGTTGACTTCGTGCTTATCTTTATATGGGTAGGGAGTTTGGGCGCGTTGCGACTTGGGAATGAGGATAGAATGAATTGAATTATCTATATACTCTCGAGTCCCATCACACGATCTGACATTTAGCAATAGATTGGATACTATGCTGCCTCTAAGGCGTGGGTTATCACAGACCAAGAATCATATGACGCCAAAAGAAAAATTACAATGTAAAATCGCTCAAAATCATGAATTACCTTATCTTATTGTGACTGATACAACTGCCCTTGACCCATCCTGACCATATCGATATCGATATCGCTGAGCGAAGGAACTGTAAAAAAAAAAAAAAATCCTTACCAGACCAGCTATTTGAGATATGATGTTCTGCAGCCTACAAGTCCCCTTGAGGGAACTCGAGGGCCTGCAGCTAAACGTGAAAACCAAGTAGGAAAATTGTATGTTTTTAGTACAAATGGTGAAGCAACCAAGCAGCGTCCCCTCATCCCAAGTTCACGCCCAAAAAGAAACATCGCCTTCTCACCCAGAAACCCAGTCATTATGTCACCGTTTAGCGCTTTCGCTTCTTCTTGCCTCCTCGGTCTTCATCCTCCATGGCACTCTCACGATCGCGCTTCTTGGCCTTGCGCTCGAGCTCATCCCAATCCTCACCCTCTTCGTCACTGTCGAGCTCTGCATCTTCGTCGTCATCGCTTGCATTGCTGCCGAAATCGGATCCTTCGTCACTAGATTCAGACTCCTCATCGAATTCGTCCTCGTCCATCTCAAAGGCCGATTCTTGCTCAGACTCACCCTCGCCATCATCATCGTCAGAGTCAGCTTGCAAGAAAGACCAACCACCATCAGCAAAGAACTGGTGGGTGTCTGCAGTGACTGTCTTCATGATAGTTGGCCAGTTGAGGTTAAGAGGACCTTCTGTGTAGGCGATATCCGAGGAGTCGAGCCATTCCTTGACCTGGTCAAGGAACTCGACGGGGATGGTGTTGACGTGGTAAGGGGGTCGTGTAAAATCCTTGAAGACAAAGACCATATCAAAGTTCTTCAGGCCGAACTGAACACGTTCCAGGTGGGCAATCTCAACTTCCTCAATGGTGATGACCATAAAAGGAGGCTCGACAACCTGAATGAGGCAGTCCGTGGTAGGTTGCACAAAGACATTGCTTCGGAATGGCACACCATGGAAACCAAGGTCACGAACAGGCATGTCGACCTCGATGCCTTCGTTGCGACCAGCCTCGGCAATCTTCTGAGCAAAGCCTTGGAACAGTCGATCCAGCTCGGCTCTGCGACGTCGTTCTTCTTGTTCTGCCTCGAACTCATCCTCGTCACCATAACGGTACTTTCGTTTGCGGTTACCCGTCTCATCGAACTGAATGTCTGTGGCTTCTCGGTAGAACTGGACATCCTTCGTCTTCTTCTTGTTGCCAACAATGATCGGGTCCTTGAGATGGATGTGGATGATGACAATCAACTCGTGCTGACAAGGTTGAAAAAACAGGTGCTTGACGTTGGAAAACAGTATATCCACTCGGTGCTGTGCGTTGAGGGGTGAGATATATCGTATACCGTTCTGGTGAATCTCGACCTTGCCTGGTACTCTCTTGCCTTCCATGGCTGGGCGGATGTAAACGTTGTCCAGCACAGCCGGTCGTCGGTCTGGGTAATGGTTAGCACCGAGTGATCCAAAAGCATGTTCAGCTTCGACTTACTCCTTATCTCGACGAGTTTGTCCTGCTCGACGACATCCTCCATGTCCTTCTTTTCCTGCTCCTTCTTAACCACATCGCGCTTCATGTTGGAGATCTGAGTCGCTATTTCATTGTATCTCTCACCATCAGACGATCGGAAGGTCAAACTTCGAACGAAGTGCGCCGATGCATCTTCGAAGGGCTGGTCATCCTTTCGGCCTACACCCTGACCAGGGGATAGGAAATTGATACGCAAGAATGCCCAGTCACCCTCGTCGCTTTTACTCGCGTTCTTGATAGTGTTGATGTGGAAAGGAACAGGGCGGCCCATGATGGGCAAAACGACTGTGTTGTTCTTGATATCGACAACAACCTCGAGGTTCTTGATCTTGCTGGGGAACTGATTGTCTCTCTTGTAAGACTCGAAACGCTTGAACTTCTTGACCTCGCCACCGTTCTGGCCACTCGTGGATTCTGAAAACCTGGCGAGACCCTCCCTTTGCTTTCTCGCTGCAAGTTCCTTCTGATGCTCCCGTCGCTTCTTCTCAAGGTCGTCGTTAGCGACCTGGGTTGTGCGTTCTGAGCGAAGTCTTGTGCTTGTGATATTCTTGGTCGCAACGGCGCCAACTCGCGAGTCCTTCTTCTCCTTCTTAGGGGCAGGCTCTGCTTCTTCATCATCCTTGAAGAAGAACGAGTTAGCATCGGCGCTTGTTGGGGCCTCAGCTGTGAACACCACGGGCTCTGCCGAAGTGACTCGTATGGTGTCGGTCAGGACGAGCGCATATATCTTGCTGTTCTTATCCTGGGGGGACGGGTTCTCGATGTCTTGGAATCCAGTATTGATGATGAGAGTCATGCCGTCCTTCAGAACCCGCTGGTTCTTGGCGTTGAGAATCAAAGTAGGATCCTTGTTCTCTAATCCAATACCCCAACCAACGTTCTTTAGGAAGTGCTTCTCCATGTCTGGCTTCTTGCTCTTTATAATGCTGATGGCCCTGCCATAAACCTCCTTCGCTGTCATACCATCACGAATCTCCTTGATGATAGTGTTGTGGATGAGAGTAAGAAGCTTATAGTTGCTCTCCTGAGACTTGTTGGGGTCGACGAGGTAGGTCCGGGCGATGGTAGAACAGTACGACTTGTACCGAAGCCCCATGGCGGCAATGATGATATTCGCGTGAAGGTTTTCGTCGTTGGGTTCACCGGCAAATCGAAGATCGTACTTGCCACCGCTCTGGATCGAAGGTCCCAGAATCCAGTCCAGCTGAGCGGGATCGAGGTCCGAGGGAAGTTTGCCCTTGCTTGGCAACTCGACTGTCTTCCAGAATTGGTTGTCGTCGAGCTTCTTGTCAACCTTGTCGGCGAGTGCGGAGTGTTTGACTTTCTTTTCGGCATCGAGGATGTTGGACATTTCGTCGAGGAAGTAGGGGGTCATCAAGGCAACACAAGCCTTGGAGGCGGTTCGCATGGCTCGGAGTTCGCTCTCGTCCTTTACGGCAAAGGCGTAGGTAGAAAGGGCGGCGGAAATGTCGACCTGGGTTACATCCTTGCACTGATCGTTGAAGAGCTTCTTCCACTCATCGACGAAGGGTCCCCGGGAGGTGTCCTTGGCAATGGTGCCGACCTTGTTCTAAAATGCATTTGTTAGAACTGAACGACAATGAATCTTCAGGCGACTTACTCCTGCCTCCTTAATCTTGTCGGCAAGCTTAACGAAGAGCTTCTCGTTTTCGGCGGCATCCTTGCCTCGCACAAGGACTTCGATTGGGAATCGGCCCCCTTTCAGCTGTTCGAGATGCTTGGCTAGAATTGATTTCAGTATGAGTCATTCGCGGAGGCAGAAATGCGGTCGCACCTTTCTTTGCTGTTGTGAGGATGTACAACGTGTCCAGGGTGAACAACATAAGGGTCGTCGGAAACTCGTATCCAAGAAGCCAGAACTAAGATATTGTTAGTACATGCATCTGGCATTCGTTTCGAGTCGCCGTGGGATCGCATACGTGAATCGCATTGTTCTTGTGAAATTCGGGGATCTCTTCAACTTTGCCCATCATCACAATGAGGGACTGAGCGCCGTTGAACAGGCCATCCTTGGAGCGCAGGTCATTCTTCCAGGCAGTGACAAAGTGGGAGATGCGCTCCTGGAAGAGCTTGCTGTCAATCTTGATCTCGGCCATCGTTTCTGATGGAATCGGGATCTAGAGTGACGGGAGAAAGCTGAAGGAATAAAGAGCTGATGACGGGAGGTTGCGACGACGCGAGAAAAAGTGAGGTCGCGTTAATGATCCAAAGCTGGAGCTCCCTGTCACGTGATGTCCCGCAACGCGTTCCTTGGGTGACTGATGATGCAAGCAAGCTATAGTACCTTACTTAGGTGTGCCTTATTCAAGGTGCTTAAGTATGGTGAACGAATACCTTGCAGCCTGATGAAGTAACTGTGGCAGGTCAGGATCCAAGCCATTAACAATTCGAGTTTTCTTCAGGCCTATTTAGTCTTTCTTGCTCTTATTGAATATGTGAAGAGTGCAAGTTCGGAGAGATGAAAGGCAGCCGCCAAAACGGAGTTGAGTTGGTGGAGCAACCAAGTCTAGGAATAGGGATCTTGAGATGATGATTCGTGACGATGAACACAAACCCTCACAAAGTCGTGGGCATTTGTGGCTCACTTTCTTTCAGAGTGCGCCACAGATGTGTAAGCTCTACTCTTCATGCTTGAACATAGTCTCAAACTCAATGCAGCCATTGTCTCGTGACGCCTACCTCTTCTCACCTGAGATCACATAGCCTTATGGTGAGTAGTGGAGTAATGCCAATGGTGTATTTTATTTAGAACGGTAAAAATAAAATACTATATTTAATCTCATCTCATCTAGTACCT